TAAAATACACAAAAATTATACTACATAACTTCCTCTCTATGAGGTCTCAAAATATAAGGAAAATGACTTTAATGCAAAATTACTCGATTCTAGCCATCTAACACTTCTCTATTGGTCCCTCAACCTATGAAGTAGATGCAACACCTACTACAGTTACTCACATACCACCGTACAATTATCGCAGTACATACATACACAACAAAATAGACAAAAATGCAAGGGTGAGCTTACGAAAGAAAAATCACATATAGAGCAAAATATTACTAACAACAACAGTCCTATGCATTTTCAACCCATCTAATACACAGTATGAAAACAATTTCAACTGGTTTTACAGCCTAAGTAATACAGAAGGAACAGAGCTGGTCTAGGAGCAACACATTCTGGTATCTAGATTCAGACAGTACAACATAGCTCAACATGCTCTATCGTTATACGTCTACCCACGTAAACGTGTAACTTAGCTCTATAATGAAGCAAGATATATATCTCAATATGATGCAGCACAAACAAAATCATATTTTCAACAGCTCAGCTAAAATAATTCATAATATTTCAGCCAAATCTCAACATTTTAAATCAATTAACAACAGTTACAACATACAAAATAGCTTTTATTCGAGAGATATGACAAAATCATCTCAAAACTTCTTATAATAGCATACCAAATCGTTCTAAACATCATTTAATAGTTAAAGTAAGCACCTTTTACCTTAGAATAGGAATTCATGTTGTTTGCAATCTAAACACTAGCAAGTGCACTAGTATTACAGCAAGTGATGAGTGATGAATCCACACTTTATAGATATTTTATTTGATTTTTATAAAGTTTTAATAGAAAAAAATAGATTTAGAGGCTGTAAATAACATTAAAATCTTATTTAGGTAGAAAACAATAGCTTTCTTAATTTTTGTCTTATTTCCATTAATTTTTGTGAATATATTTTGCAATTTTGATCATTTGAATAATTGTGCAGGAAATTCTAGACAAATTTCATGAATTTTTGGTTCTTTGAAAAAAATATGAACTGAGAGTAACTACTATCAGATACCAGAGTAATCACTCCAGGGAGCTGGTTTCAAGGGATAGGCCAGAGTAACCACTTTCAGATATCAGAGTGATCACTCCAGAAGCCCTAGACCCCAAGTGTCCTGCGCGTAAACACTCTCAGAAATGGGAGTAATCACTCCAGAGACGCCCAGAAGGAAGTGCCATGCGCGTGTTTACTCTCAGAAATGAGAGTAATCACTCCAGAAAGGGAAAAAGCTAAAGTTGCTGCGCGCGTTTACTCTCTTGTTTTACAGAGTGATCACTATGGGGCCATGTCAGACTTAGTATATATAGACTTTTAGAAATTAGGGTACGGGGGATTCATTTTTCCTTAGATTCTTTTACCACTTTTGGAGCATTTTGCAGAGCTTAGGGTTCTTGGGTGACAGCCAGGGATCCATTATAGGTTTTAATTTCCAATTTCCCTTTGATTCTCCTTGATTTTACATTAATGTTGCTTACATTTCTACATTCTCTTCTTTCATTTGTGAAGCCCATCCATATGGAGGGCTAAATTCTCTTGTAATTCCTAGTCAACTCATATGGTTCTTGAATTCTTGAGTTTAATGGCAATATCACTCTTTCTTTCCTTGGATTTATTAATCCCAATCTCTGAATGAAATGAAATTTGCATGAGGGGAACATTGCTTAATGAACCCTAAATTAACCAACGAAATTCTAATCTAAAATTGCTTAATTTTGATTAATCTTTGAGATTGCTTAATCTTAGGGATAGAGAATTGGAGCCCATTAAGATGCTTAATTTTAATTGGGATACTAAAGTTAATTTTCGCTTGTTAGATTAACTTAATTCAAGGGAAAAATAGAGGATTATTGAATCATTTGAAAGAATAGGGATAGAACTCATTGATTGACTAGGGATTACTCTTTTTAATTGATTGAATTTCATTAGTTTACATTCTGTTCTTGATTAAAATCTAGAAATTGACAAACTTCCCCCTAATTTACTTGCTTTAAAATATATGTTTACACTTGTTCGATGTATGTTCCCAACCAAAAGTTCCTTGGAGATAACCTAGGACAACACCCTAGTATTGCATTTATATCTTGCATATTTGATGAGGATTAACGACAATCTTTGTGCATAACGAGTAGTGAAAAATCGTTCCATCAATGAGTAATTTTTAAGATCAGGATATCGTCTCCACAGGGAATTTAGATTTCAATTATCAATTCACAAAATTGTAACCATTTGAGCCATACAAAAATTGAATAAGGTTTGTAACATCTAACAGCAGTAAACCAAAATAATTAAGAGTAAGGGAAACTTGCAGAAAATAGATCAATGAATGCAATGTGGGATTAGAAATGGATTGAAAGGTAGTTAGGAATTTACTTCACAAGAATGTCAATATTAATTCAATTATGCTTCTGAAAATTCAAGAACTTGGTTAATTGACAATCAGTTTCGCATATCAATAGCCAAAGGTTAATCCCTTAACTCATTGACCCTAACAAGCAACTAAACCACCCTAATCCCTTAGGTGAAGTTCAATTTCAAGTTGCATTAAGACTTAGAACCTTAAGATTGCAGAATTAGGTCTCCTTATCCCTAAGAAATCCCTAGATTCCGATTACAAACTCAGATCAGAGATTCAAATCCAACTTCCATTGGTAAATGTTCCTCTTTGATGAACCATATGAATTTCCATTCATAGATTGCAAGAAAAGCAGAATTCACAATTCAATTAATCCAAGAACTCAAAATTCAGAAGCAAGAATCAAATCAATACATCAATTCGAGTTTCATAAACCCCTAACTACAAGAAAACTACTCAAACAAGGGAGAAGAGAAAGAGAAAGAAGAAGAAGAAGAAGAAGAAGAAGAAGAAGAAGAAGAAGAAAAACTCCAAAAAGCCATGGCCGGAAGCTCCAATCTGATTCCTCTTTGTGGAAGCTTCAAGACTTGACCCCAATCTTCTCTCTCAATCTCTCTCAACGATAATTTAACAGAAAAACAGAAAATAAAATTGAACTGAACGAAAGCCTCAAAAATCTGAGCATTTCTGGTATTTATAGAATTTTCCATATTTGCGCGTCATCACTTTTATGAGAAATAGTAGCTACACAGAGGGTTTATGGTTGCGCGTTAACACTTTTATGAGAAAAAGTGGCCACGCGCAACTTTCCTAATATTGAGAGCTCTCTGGAAATATCACTCTTGCTGATAAAAGTGTCAACACAGAGCCCAAGTAGTTGCGCGTGATCACTCTTATGAATAAAAGTGACTACGCACAACTTGGCAAGATGAAGGCTCTCTGGAACGATCACTTTCGATGACAATAGTGGTTACGCAGAGCTTTCCTGATATTTTGCCTCTCTGGAACGCTCACTTTCGACGACAATAGTAATGACGCCCAGGCTTTCTTCTTCTTTGTACTCTGGAGTGATCACTTTCACTGACAATAGTGATCATGCCCAGTCTGCATTTTCTTGTTCTTGTGTTTTTGGAGTCCAGACTTGCTTCTTTCCTCTTCCTTGTCATCAAGCCTCCATTTTCATGATCTTTGCTCAAATTATTCCTTCAAAAACAAGATTAAAAACTTAATTTCTAAGGTAAAATTTCACAATTGCTAAGATAACTACAATTTTAAAGAAACCTCAATTCATTCTCTTTTTCTGAGTTTTTCTGCTTTCTTCATATATTTTCCTTATCAAATAAGTTAAAATTATGCTAAAATATCAGTAAAAATATGGATTCATCAATTCACACTAGATCTACCGAATATTACTTGTTTTAAGGTAAGATCCATCAAAGATTTAACTTTACAACAAAGTTTCTCCTAAGATATCATCAACTATTTATAAGAAAGAGAAGAAGAGAAATGAATAGTAAATCTAACTTCAAACTTATAGAAACTTACTTCAGATCCTTCAGAATAGACATAGAATCTCATATCTAGTAGGAAATCTAAGTTTCAGAGGGTTTAATCTAAGAGAAAATGGTGGTATATGGCCTTGGGTCTCGCTGGAAACTTTGAAAAGTGTAATAAAATGAGAATTTCGTGCAAGTGTCCCTATTTATAGGCAAAATTTTGAAATTTCTTTTACGTACTGTTCACACGCGGCTTTACTGTTCACAACAACTTTACTATTCACTTTTTTTTAATAATAATTTTAAACTCCATCTAAATCTATTCGAATAACAAATAATCATTCAATTAACATTTAACAAATACAAAACATTACAGATCACTCAATAATAAATTACAGGCTTAACAGCAGAGAAATCACTAGATTGAGCATCTATTTTGTTCTGTTTTTGTATTTTGCATATTTTTTTACAGGATGTTCTGCTTAAATTTATGCATCATTCATTTTTTTCTTCTGCATAATTTTCTGGTTTCATTTAATTTTTTTTAACTTTCTTTTTTTATGCAAGGAAAGACAGAACTTAGTTGATCTATTGTTTGACCTTGACATAGGCAAGACTCTCAAAAGATTAAAGAGTGAAGTTAAGACAGAGAATTCATAAAAGAGAGAGCAAAAAACTACACCAACTTCAAAAAAATTGATTGATAATCAAATACAACCAATGAACAACTCTACGACTAAGAACAAAAAGATGAGAACCTTGGGAGACTATGTTATTCCAAATATGCAGTGATGCAATTCAAGTATTGTCAAACCACAAATTCAAGCCAATAGTTTTGAGATCAAGCTTACATTGATGAAATTGGTACAACAAGATCAATTATGTGGAAATGTTTCAGATGATCCCAATCAGCATCTCTCTAATTTTCTGCAGCTATGCAACACCATTCAAATCAATGAAGTTAGTAAAGATGCTGTTCAACTAAGATTCTCTTTCCCTCTAAGGGACAAGGCTAAGTGTTAGCTTTAAGCACAACCACAAAGAAGCATCACAACATAGACAAATTTGGTGAATAAATTTATGACTAAATAGTTTTCACCTTCCAAAGTTGTGAAGTTGAAAAAAGAAATAACATCCTTTATTCAGCACGATGAAGAATCTTTGTATTAGGCATGAGAAAGGTAGAAAGAGTTGCTGCAAAGATGTCCTCATCATTGCATTCTTAAGTTAATGCAAATTCAAACTTTCTACAATGCGATGAATGTTGTAACACCCAAAAAATTATCCCCTTCTTATGCGCACGCACACGCACGCGCGCGCGCACACACACACACACACATATATATATATATATATATATATATATATAAACGTGTTTTAATTTTGAATTTGACTTGTCCTGATTATTTCTCTTGCTATTCACCTATTTTTTGATGTAGTTAAAAAATATTCGTGCCTAAAATTCTGTTACGTTAATATTACATGAAATCCTTCTTGATTCATCCTTTTTATATTGAATCCCATTGGTGAGTTATGTAATACTTGGGTTAGCATGCTACTAGATTTTCTCCTTTCACCAAAAAATGCAGTCCCGGTAATCTATCATGAATTTCACAAATGGGAGAGGGCTGAGTATCACTTTGAGAAACCACGTCTAAACCTCCACAACGTCAAAATTTTTTTTACCATTGCTGAAATCTTCCACTTTTCATATGTAAAAACTTGCACAATATGGCAAGAGAACATTTGATCTCATTTTGTCCCTGCATGGCATGATTTAGGTTGTTTCTTTTCCAACTTACACGTGCATCCCACTCACATATCTTCTCAGTCTGCTAAGTGTAATTTCAATCATGGTATAACACCCAACTGTACTATTTCTTTTTCCTTTAGTCTTCAGCTCCGACTGTATGAGAAGGATGCAGAGGTATTCCCATGTTAATATGAGCTTTTTACCTCACTTATCAAACTTCAGTCCAAAGATGAATGTTACTGTAAGTATCACCTTATTCAATAACGAGACAACTGCAATATATGGATTGAGAACCATCTTTTTAATCACCATGACACATCCATCTTCTCTCCTTTCATTTTGAAGGTGTGGTACCCCATTTTGGAATATCACACACACACATTTAGGCATAGATGGCAGAGAAATTCCTACTCTTACCCAAAATCTTTGCCTGACATTAATTAATGTGGCATTCCATTTCCATTGCACGTGTAATCCACTAACATGACATTCTAGTTTTGAGGATTTTAGCCATACAGAGGTGAATTATACATTAGAAGGAAGAGACAAATTTAATTTTGGAATCCTGGTAACGTGGTGTGTAGACTTCGTGAAAATTGAAATTATCCCATCATGTTATACGACGTGTCCTTCCCTTTCTTTTCTTAGCATTACACCGCATTTCATTTCAGTAAAGAAGACCAAGCTGTAGCACCCTTTCTCTTACACATCATCCGCAGCAGGTAAGTTCTTTACCATTAATACTATCTTAGTGACTTGGGAAATATAACCAAAACTACCATTAAAATTGTCTAATCAAACCTAAATACACTCAAGAACTCCCTAGAACCTCTACCACCGAAACTAAACAAACGAAGAAGAGAAACAAAATGGATATTTTCTGCATGTATTCAGAAGAATAGCCTATGAACTAAAGAAAGAAAAAGCTTTTGGTTTCCCTAATTTAAAAAGACAACAACTCCAGGACCTTAATCTCTTTCCCTTTCTTTCGCGCTTCTTATTCTTTTCTGAAATTTGAAAAGTCAAGCTAAGAACTTCTCCTAGGTGAGTAGATTTCCAGCTTCACGTTACTAGATTCATATCTTCCCCTCTATAACTCTTATTTTCTACTTTCTTCGTGTCAATTGTTGTTCATGTTGCGTGGCAGGACCATAACATCCAAATTTGTTGTTTTTATCCTTTTCACGAAATCTTTGCTATAAGGTAAAGGGAGTCCATTACACTTAATGTTTTACATGTGAATGAAATCTATTTTTTATTGTAAGAATGAACGATAGAAAAAGAAGGAGGAACGTAAATCAGAACTTTAGGATTATTGAATGACTATACTTAGCTTTGTAAATGGAAATTTAGAGCAAAATGTTCATTGGAAGCTTGTGCATGCTAAATGTTTAATGAGCATTTCAGAATACGAGATTGGAGGACTATGAAACTAGGTTGCATGTGCTAAACATTAAGTCAAATTACCCTATTTTTATGTGAAATATCATTATTATTTTTACATTGAATATTTATGTGAAATTTGTACTTGTTGAGAAGGCAGAATTGACTTTAAATTGTAAGGTAGTTTAGTATATAGCCCTGCATGATAGGCGATTTGACAAGAAAAATAAATTTTGGTATGTGAAGTCATTAAAGTGTGAGGTGAGGATTAAATTTAGAAACAAATGTTTTGAGTGATCTGGTTACTTGATCTCGAGAATTGATGTGTGGACTGAATTGATAATGTATGAAATGAACGATGATGGGAGTAGGTATTGAAGGCTTTGTATTTTCCCTGTACGAAATAGTAAGGTACATTATCTTGAATTGACAATTTGGTACGGTACATTAAAATGATGAGACTTGTATTAGAACCATAAATTACGGACCTTCTTATCCCCCTTAATTTATGGTAAATATATATTATTGACAAGTGATAGAAAGTTGAAAGTTCATGTATTCAAAAACAAGATAGCATAAACTATTGAATGCTAGGAAGCCGTGAGATAAATAAACTTCAAACATTCTTGCAGATACTTAATATATATATATATATATATATATATATATAATGATAAAGAGGTATGTATATATATTTCATTAAACAAGAAAAAAAGGACCTCACGTATTTTCAAGTGAGAAGTAAGCAATTAAATAATTCATGCACTAGGGGAGATAAATTCAAGGCAAAAACCAAGAAAAAACAAAGTAAGAAAAATAAGTTAGGATAGAAGTAGAATAGTCCTATCATCATTGGACAATGAGATTCTCAATTAGGTATTAGTTATTAAGAAAATAAATAATAAGTTAGAGTAAGTAGATGTTAAATAATTAGGAGAGAAGGAATAATTGAGTAATAAGAAGGGCATAGCTATGAATCCTGTCACGATCCCTTTTTATAAAAAACCAAGAACATTATTTCTATACCATTTACTTATTTAAGATAGATAAATAATGGAGAATATAAGTGTAAAATTCACTTCTCATTCAAAATAAAACAAAGTTTCTTATAACAAATATCCAATAGAACAACATAATATTACATTTATTTTGTAATATTCAAAATACACAAAATTATACTACATAGCTCCCTCTATATGAGGTATCAAAATATAAGGAAATAGGACTTCAATGTAAAATTACTCGACTTTAGCTTCTAACATTTCTCCCGTAGCCCCTTAGCCTGTGAAGTAGATGCAATACCTGCTGGATCTGCTCATGTATCACCGTATAATCATCACAGTACACGCGCACACCACAGTATAGACAGAAATGCAAGGGTGAGCTTACAAAAATAAAATTAAATCATATATAGAGAGCAAAATATTTACTCGCAACAATAGTCCCATGCATTCCTAGCCCATCTAACGCATAGACATGAAAACGGTTTCCAACTGGTTTCACAGCCTAAGTAATCTAGAAGGAACCGAGTCGGTCCGGGAGTGACCCATTCCGATATCTGGATCCAGATAGCATAGCACAACAGCTCAGCATGAACTTACCGTTACACGTCTACCCACCTAAACATGTAACTCGGCTCTATAATTATGCAAAACATATATCTTAGCATGATGCAGCACCGCTAAAATGGTTTTAACAACTCATCTAAGACAAGTTTATAATAGATCAACATAAATATCAGCATTTTAAATCAATTAACGGTAGTTACAGCTTAGAAAATTATTTTTATTCAAAAGATCTAACAAAATCATATCAAAGCTTCTTGTAATAGCATACCAAACCGTTCAAAACTCCCCTTACCTTAGAACAGTAATTCACACCAGATCTACCGAATATTACTTGTTTTAATACAAGATTGACCGAAGATTTGGCTTTAGAACAAAGTCTCTCTTAAGAACACCATGAACTTCTATGAGAAAGAGAAGGGGAAGAGAAACGAATAGTGAAACTAACTTCAAATTTAGAGAAACTTACTTCAAATCTCTTAGAACGGAAGCAAAATCTTAGATCTAGATAGAAATCTAGGTTTAGAAAAGTTTAGTATGAGAGAAAATGGTAATATATGGCCTTGGAACCTTTGAGAAGGGTGGAAAAGTGAAAATTTCGTGTAAGGACCCCTATTTATATATATAAAAAAAATCTTGAAACTATTCACGCCGGAGTTACTGTTCACACTGCCTTAATGTTCATGTCGAAATACTGTTCACGCCTTTTGCACTATTCACCGACATTGTTCACGCATTTTGTACTGTTCATGTGTACTGTTCACATAGTGTTCATGTGCATTGTTTACCGACACTGTTCACTATTTTTTTTTTTGTTTTTATTTCAATCTCCATTTAAATCTATTTCAATACCAAATAATCCTTCAATTAACATTTAACAAGTACAAAATATTATAGATTGCTCAATAATAAATTACTGGCCTGAAAATTCTCCCCCTAAAAATAAATTTTTGTCCTCGAAAATTTCATCTCTCAGAGAAAAGATAAGGGTATAACTCTCTCATTCTTTCCTCTAACTCTTATGTGGCATCACCGGTGACTGGGTCTCAAACAACCTTTACTAATCGAATAGACTTGCCTTAAAGTTCTTTAACTCTAGTGTCCTCGATACGAGCAGCTGGGACCTCCACAATCAAATCATCTTGTATCTCCACAACATCAGGCTCGATTACATGAGACGAATCAGGAACATACTTCCTCAGCTGTGACACATGGAAAACATTATGCAGTCCTGACAATTGAGGTGGTAATGCTAATTCATAGGCTACTAGTCCTTTGCGATGTAATATCTTATACAGTTCTATGAACTTAGGCGTTAACTTCTTGGCCCTTAATGCTCGCCCCACACCTGCAGTGCGTGACACTCTCAAGAATACATGATCACCAACCTCAAATTCTAAGGGTCTTCTGCGTCGGTTAGCATAAAACTTTTGTTGACTTTGAGTAGCTCTCAGTTTTTCCCTGATAATTTCAACTTTTTCCTTAGTTTTCTGCAGCATTTCAGGCCTAAGCATCAAAT